TTGGAACAACATTTACACCTTCTAATATTCTAATAGCAGGACCATTATAATTATCGAAAGCAATAAAAACTGCTACAAGAAGAAAAGGTGGACCATTCTCATTATATAAAATATCATAAATAGTTCCTATTGATCCATTAACTAACCTAGCTTCTGTCTATAAATTTGCCGTTAATATAACTCGAGCATTTTTAGCTAATAAAAGTTGTGCTTCAAGACCTTTAGCAACATCAGAATCGGCTTTTTTAGCTTCTTGGTCACTAGTATATTTAGCAAGAACTTTGACAACAGGATTCTTTAAAAATTCAAGTTTATTTAAGTTAATTGTATCAACTTCAGACCATTTTGGTAATATAAACATAGCATTTAAAAATCGATCACATTCAGTTCTATTATATTTTTCTTTAATATGTGTAGTAAGTGTTATCTAATCTTCAAATGTAGACTCGCCATTGCCTAATCTTAAAAGAATTTCTCTAAAAATTTATTGCTCTTTAGAATCTCCAGATTGGTGTTGAATAATATCAAGTTTATATACTTCACAAACTGACTATATGATATAATACCACTATTAGATAATGGATCTCTTAAAATATTAGTAGCATATATAAAGAGGTCAAGTACTGGAGGAAGTTGATCAAAATCTCCAACCATAATAATAGATTGACCACCAAAAGGTTCATTTTTATGTTCAGGAAAAGCTTGTTGTAATTGAATATCAATCAAATTGAGCATTCGACGTCCAACCATGCTTTTTTCATCAAAAATTAAATATTTTACATTTTGTAGCTTTGTTTGTAGTCGCTTTAACTATTTACCTTTCAAATCAATATTATTTCCAATTTGCATTGGAATAAAAAGTGTTAAATGAATAGTTGCATCATTAATATTATATGCAGCAACTCCTGTTGGTGTAAGTACAAGTACAGGTAGTTCAGATCCAATTCCTGCCATTCTACAAAGTTGACTTCTAATTGCTCTAATTAGATAAGATTTGCCTGTTTCTGCTGTTCCCATGATAATGATTTTTAATGGTTCAACTTGAAAACCAGAAAGTATATTTTGGTAATGTATCTCTATTCGTTTAAAAACCTTTTGTTGATTTTCATTTAATGTTTGATAATTAACAGTATCTATAACTCTATTTTCATCTCTTTCTGTTCTTGCATTATTAGAGGCCTGATGAATAAATGTATCAACATCTGTAAGATCATCAATAGAGTAGTGCTGTCTAGCATCATTGGCCCAATCGAAGTTAATATCTATATCACGAGATCCCAATTCAAAAAATCTATTTATAACTAAGTTTGGACCCATTGCTGCTAAACGCATCCAATCAAGCTGAAATTCATTCTCTTCATCTTCAAATTCATCTAAATCTTCTTCAACATTTTCAATTTCTATTTTATCTACTATATCAATTGGAAGACCAAGTAGATCTATTGGATCAGCATTAATCTCTTCAAGATAATGATTATATATATTTGACCATTCCATAGTATTATTTGCAGTTAGCTGTTCAAGATTTCGATGTCTAACATAATGAAGAACTTTGATGCGACAAAATTCTTCCCATTGAGGACCATGGCATAAAGGTAATGGACGTGGCCATATATGTATAATATTTTCTTGTTTACACTTTATCCAACGACTATTAACAAATTTGTATATTAAGTAGAGTTGATACAAAGAAAAATTTTTGAATTCAAATGGTCGATCCCAATATATTTTTAAAGGTGATTTTGATGTTAATCCTGTATTTCTAATCAACATAAATTCATTATCTTCATTGCTACCAGTACCACGAAGCCATCTTGGTGCTTCTTTATTTAGATTTAAAGAAATAAATGATCGACTTGAATGATAAAGAGGGATACCAAGAAGAATATGACAAGTTTCTTGTGCTGAAATATCATATTCTGCAATACTATGTATTAGCAATTTTTGAGCTATTGAAATTACTGAATTATCAGATCTACTATTAGATATGATCTGATTTAATATTTCTGAAAAAGCAGCAGAACGTGGCTCTGCCTTGCTTGCATATTTTGTAATATATTGTAAGGCTGCATGAATACTCAAAATTGGTTTAATATCTACATTTGCTCGCCAACCTTGTAACTGAAGTCGACTATGTGGATTAATATATAGATCGTTTCTTGCTGTTACAAGTTCTGGTTCTCCACAACTATCTTTACGCAAAAAAGTATACTCACTATTATTTTTAGAAAAACCAAATCTGCAGAATTGTTGCCCAGTTCGATCAATACGAAGACAATATGTAGCACTGCATCGTATATACCGTTGTAATTTATTAATTAAATCAATATAATCTTGTAAATCATCATATATCTCATTTTGACGTTTCTGATATGGATGACGATCAGGTATAGGTGCATTAAGTCCTGGATTCATCGTGGTAACTTGTGAATTAAGATACTGTATGACTGTATTCATGATTTGATCATCATTTTTATTTGTTCTTATTCAATTACAGAAGCATTCTGTTTCTTTCCTATACTATGTACATGTACGCTACCACGATGTTGCCACTCAAATCTATACTACCAGTCTTCTAAATCCCATTGTGGTTTTAGCACATTATTAAAAAAAACCTCAAACCGCTTATTAAAAAACCAAACAGCAATATGAGGATTGTCAATAATATTTTAACATCGGCAATTTGCAGAATTAATTCCTTCCTCTACAAGATTTTCTTGTGATTGTATAAAATCATGAAGTTCAGGCCAGTGCAGATCTGCAGCACTAAAAGTAAAAAATACTAATCCTTGTGAACCTAATTGTTTTATCATATCTGATAACTCGCAACAACATGCAGCCCAAAATTGCTGAGTTCCACGCAAACCAACACCAAATCTCATAATTTTGTTAGCTATATGTATATCACCTTCAGCAATCATATTTTGAATATCAGTAACAGTAAGCTGATCATCATTCAAACTTTGCCTAACAAAAACTTTTCCTTCTTGTAATGCTCTCCATCGCATTAGGGAATTTAATGCAAAATAACGGCAACGAGAATGACGTGCAAATCTTTCATCTTTAAATTGGAGAAAATGCTTAAAGTATTCAGCTGGTTTGACATCTTTAGCACGTTCTGCATAAAAGTCAGCATAACCAGTCGGATATAAAGTTAGAAATGTACGTACAATATATCCTGGAGTTTGAAATTCATTAATTGGTATATTGTCAATATGTGGCCATATTATTGGTGGATTCTCAGACTCCAGATGGTCAAAAGCATTATTAATAGCAACATTCTCACGATCAGTTGGTAGAAGAAAAGGTACAAAAGAACGTGTAATTTCATCTTTATTTTCAATATTTGAATCATTATCTGTTTCATTAATTTGAAGTTGTGGAAGCTGATCATCTATATAACCATCTTCAGTCAAAGATTCAAGTACTTCATTGTCAATAGTAATATTAGTATAATAACGATTATTTGACTTTAACCAATATAGTGCATTTGCAACAATATTATGACAAACTATAAAGTCTTTGAATGTAGTAGAATTATTTGCTGATTGACGACGCACAATTAGTATATTTAATGTCAATGGATGTCAAGGAAGCCATGTAGTAAATTCTTGTATATCTTGAGGAAAATTTATAATATTTCCTCTATAACCAAGTTGCTCACCACGAAGTTTATATACTGACATTACAGTAAAAACTTGTGCTATTAACATTTCTTCTACTTCTGTTAAATCCTAAAGCTCCTCAGGTATTTCACCTGGATCCATATTATTTGCAGCAGAAAACTTTTTTGGTAAAACCTTTTCACCATTGCAACGACAGTACATTCTATTGACAAGCACTATGGATGAAAAACATTCATTGCATATAGTGCAGAGAACATATTGAAGGTTACTCATTTTAGTGCGAAATTTTCTCAAAAGTTCTTGTTCGACTTCATTTAATTCTGTGGCTGATTGTAATTCAACACTTATTTCTGCAATATTATCATTTTGAGACGTAGCTATAATAATCTCTTCATTTTCAGATGTATTATTAATATTTTCAATTTGAGATGAAGTAGAAATATTTTCACCAATTGGATGTATACTTTCTATATTTACTGATATTACAGGTCGTTCTGATTCTTGCTGTAAATTAGCATTTGTTCTTGCTTTATGACATTTTCTTTCTCTATCTCAAGCAAGACGTGCTTCACGTTCTTGAGCAGTTTCTGTTACTCTTTTTTGAAGCCTTCTATTCTGATCACTTGAAAGACGTTCTTGACGCTTTTCAAGTGATTCTTTTTCTCTATATCTACGTTGTCGGTGTGTACTACTGTAAATTGATTTTTATTTATAATATTTTAATCTTTAAAATAATAAAAATTAATTGCACTAATAAATTTTAGAATTTTAAAACTATAATATACACTGTATTATCCATTATTAAAAAAGCAAATTGGTAAATATTTAATTATATAAATAGATAAAGTTTATCTACAAAATTGATTTTTAACTATATATATTTATTATTTAGAAATCTTTTTAAACATATAAAAGTTTATTCTTTTTAAAAATTCAACCTATATACTATTTAAATACTTTATTGCAGCCTATACCTTTAACTTTTTTATATAATTTACAATTTTAGTTGCATCTACAGTAATACGTAATTATGCTATTGTAATGAATAATCTTACCCTTTTTGGTGTAATTGATTATCTAACTAAATTAGTATCGTAATTGTTAAAGCTCTCGAGAGAGGTAGTGTGCATATTGATAATATTGATATAAGGCTAACACGATAGCGTGGTGCCTCTGATGTCATAAAGTAGGCTACAGAATGTTCTCTTTCATATATATGCATTAATTATTATAAACAGAAGAACTTCGTTCTTATAATAAAGTAATCTGAACATAGTGATATTCTCTCCTTAATTACACACCATCATTAAGTTGCTCTAATAAAATTACCATACCTATAGAAGCCTTTTATTATTCAATCCACATAACTTCTAGTAGCGGTTGGGCGTCGCTCTAATAGAATTACCATACCTATAGAAGCCTTTTATTATTCAATCTACATAACTTCTAGTAGCGGTTGGGCGTCGCTCTTCCAACCACTATACACATTGACACTGTTGGATCTGTGCATACGATTACTTTTTTAGGTTTTGAAGAACCGCTAATATATTTTCTATTTTTGGATTATTTAACCGTTGCACCATTCGTTTCCAACAAGTTTTGCGCCTGCCCATGCGCTGGGAGTTTTCGGCAGCTCTAGTGTTGCTACCCTAAAACATTTTAGCAGCCAACCAATTTTTAGATCAGGTGTATTAAAACTTCAATGTGCTAAAAAAGATTGCTCCGCAATTTTTTTGCATTAATGAGGTTCTTTCTAACTTAATTTAACAGCAAAATTTTTTAGTGAAATCTTTGGGTTGGTGACGCTAGAGTTCTAGTAAAGTTTAAATTGGCTGACTTGAATTAATAAATATGTGGCGCATTTCGAGAATAAGTACGTACGTACGTAGGATTTTTTTAATAGTATTTAATAAAGTAACCTGAACATGATATTTATTCTCTCTTTAATTATACACATCATTAAATCGCTCTAATAGAATTACCATGCCTTATGGAAGACTTTTATTTTTCAATCTACATAACTTCTAGTAGCGGTTGGAGCTACACTAATAGAATTACCATGCCTTATGGAAGACTTTTATTTTTCAATCCACATAACTTCTAGTAGCGGTTGAAGCTACACTGCGCATTTATTGTGCGTCGCTCTCTTAACCAACCATTACACTTCTTTAGGTATGGCTTAAGTTTTGAAGAACCGCTAAGTAATATATTTTCTAGATTATTATTTAACCATTGCACCATTTGACCTTTTTTAGCTTCTTTGAGTGTTTCCAACAAGTTTTGCGCCTGCTCATGCGCTGGGAATTTTCAGCAGCTCTAGTGTCGCTACCCTAAAACATTTTAGCAGCCAACCAAATATTTAGATCAGGTGTATTAAAAACTTCAATATGCTAAAAATGGTCTAAATCTGATAGTTTATATGTCCAAATAACAAGACTGAAAGCTATAGATAAAGATTTCATATAATGTTATATTTAGAGACAAGGAAATACTACGGTGGTTTTAGATAAGTATATTTCAAGAATGGATAAAGTCATAGATATTCGTTTATTTGCTTTAATAATCTAAAATCTATACTTCGGCTTTCTTTGATGAATTAAGATATTTTACAGATATAAATTATTAGAAGTAGTGTTGACATCGGACATATGTCCAATAATTTTGAAAACAATTAAACATATGAAATTTTATATGTCTAATATTTTTCAAAATTATTGAACATATGTTCAACGCCAACACCGATTAGAGATTAACGAATAATAAATTTAAATTCGATAAAATATACATGACCGTTTCCTTAGCAATACGTAGAATATTTTCTGTCGTAATATTAAGAATTGTTTTACGTATTGTTAACCCCTGTAATTTAACATTATGTGATATTAAGCAGCAATGTAATACTAATGCCAAGAGTGCTAAGTAGCGCAAGTTAATTCTAAAGCACTTATTACATTAATAGCCTTAATGCCTTTCGTTAAAATTAGTGGTTCTATTAAATTTGTAATTTGTAAAAATAGTAACAGAAATCGGAAGTTTAAAAGACTTAGAAATTACTTTTATAAAGACAGAACTCGAAGTTCCAACAACTTGACAATAAATAAAGAGCAGTCGTATCTTCATACACGAACAACTCGAATACTTTATTGAATAAATCATATAATTCTCTAAAGAGTGATCGTGTCTTCATATACGTATAACTCGAGACTTTGTTGAATAAACTGTAAATTTGTTGATGCGACTATCTGTATCTTCACACTAATCCTATAGTTTACTTAGCATAAATCGGCATTTACTAATAAATTACTTAACCTACCCGTCGCTATAGTAAAAGTTATAAACAGTATTCTTGAAATATCGTCATTGATATATTGTAAGCCCTGTCAATTTACTTATTAGCATTAAAGAAAGAGTTAGTTTAAAGCATTTATTATTTGATAATCTGAAGAATTTAAATTGTTTGTTTACCTTTTATAAACCTAGCAATAGTATTCGGACAATTGCATACTTAGAGGGCTTTCAAGAGAAAATCTGAAAGTACGAATCTACATACACTTATAACTTGAGACTTTGTTGAATAAACTGTAAACTTGTTGATGCGACTATCTGTATCTTCACATACATTTAGCCGTTTGCCTCTTTCATAACTGCAAAACACTTAATTCTCTTACAAGTGTAACCGCACTAATCCTATAGTTAATCGGCATTCACTATCAAATTACTTAACTTACCCATCGCTATAGTAAAATGTTATAAACAACATTCTTGAAATATATTGTAAGCCCTGTCAATTTACTTATTTGTATTAAAGAAAGAGTTAGTTTAAAGCGTTTATTATTTGATAATCTGAAGAATTTTAAATTGTTTGTTTACCTTTTATAAACCTAGCAATAGTATTCGGACGATTGCATACTTAGAGAGCTTTCAAAAGAAAATTTGAAAATACAAATCTAAATTTAAACTAATAATTAATTAGTCAAAAAATTTTTAAAAAACGAAATTATATGAATCGCATTCGGTTGAATAATTATTAGTTCTCTTTTAAAATCACATATCTCAAAATAATGCCCCAAAAGTGAAATACGACAACGTTCATTTGAAACGAGAAGTCCTGTCAAAGAAATATATTTGATCTTGATTTTAGCATGCATAACTTAAGTTAACTAAATTGGCAGTGACGATTTCAGTCAAAATATGCAAGCATAAGTTACATTTAAATTAAAATTTATAATGATAAACAAATATTATCATTACAGATATTTCCATTAGACTCTGTCTTCGCCAATTCATAAAATTTCACTCAGGCAAAAAATTAATTGCTCGAATGGTTCATGAACAAACTTAAACTCATAAATTTCTGAGCTTAAGTTCTGCACAGTAATAATTTAAATTCGTACTTATAGGTTTTCTCTTGGCAGACTTATTACAGAAAGTATTATATTCGAACGTAATTAAAGTCTTGCCATCAAATACATTGCATACCATTCATATTTTGGCATTAAATAAAATAAATTCGGTCACTAAACATCTTGCATTTCGAAAATATTAAATAATTAGTTTAGTTTAAAAGTGATTCTTATTTGATAAAATCAACAATTTAAGAAATATAAATTGTTGTCTATCTTTCATAGCCCTGAAATCTAATGAGTACATAATTATAAAAAACCATATTATACTTGCACATAATTTAAGTCTTAAAAAAAATATAATAAATAACAAATCTTGGAATATAAGTGTGCTGTTCACTAAACCGCCTGAGAATCTTGCAAAAATAGCGATAGTAAAATTATAAAACATGCGATAATTTAAATGTAAGAAATAGCAAAGCTTAATTTTTATTATGATAGATTTGATTGGCTGCATAATACATAACAAACGCGTAAAATAGTATTGTTGTTACACAGATATACAAATTTGGATACGTGGCGTTACAGACGGAAAATGCCACAACTACGTTTTTGATTTTTTTTATATTAATGCATCAAAAATGTAGTTTTGGTTATCACAGGGCGTAGAAGTATGAGACCGTCACTTCGTTCCGGCCAATAATATTCACAAAACTTTTTTACTAATCTTTATATACAAAATTGCAAAAACTAAATATTATTAAAAACATATAAATATTAGTAAGAAACAAGACTTATAGCTTTAAAAAAAAAAGTAAACTAAAAATAATACTCAGTTTTTTTTAAATTAGCTTCTTTGGGATTTAGGTTTTTATTTAAGTATTGTTAAATGAAGAACTTGTAGCTAAAGCCTCAAAGAATCCTCTTAAAGTTCACCCAAACCTCAGTACATACTTTACAAACTATCTACTATATCTCTAATTATTCTAAACTTTTAATTTAGATGGCTCAGAAAGATGTTTCTTCCTCCAGTTATACAGTAATCTGGTTGGTGAAGTGCTTGCCAAATACATTAGTTTTGTTTAGTTTTCTGGTTTCTCAGATAATAATTTTTACATAGTACTATTAAAGATCTGTGCTACCTCTCTACTTAGATCTTGTCAAGTAGGCTTTCATATTCTTTAATTTATTAGTTTTACACAGCTGCTTTACTTAGATTTTATATAACTGAAGAGTATAGCTACTTAGTGAAGTTGGTAAGTTGTTACATTTCTAAGTAGCAGAATGAGAGTTTGAATCCTACTGGCAATGAAATTTGAATTACAGAATATGTTATAGCAGACTGTATAATATATCAATCGGGTTAGTATTTATAACCTTAATTATACCAGCTTATACTAGAAAGTTGTGAAACAATAGTGTGATGCATAAGTTATATGAATCCTGAATGAAGCGCCAAATTAATCTAAGGAATCAAGAGATACAAAAGCCTATTAGAATCTCAAAGAAACTCAAAGGTTATTAAAAAATGAAATTTTGTATAGAAATTTATCAAATGTTGTATTTTTATATAGTAAATTTTTTTAAATTTTAGCCTATTTTATATACTTATTTAACAGATATTATATAAACTCAGATCTGAGCTGTATTAGAGTTTTTCAGAGTCCTAGCCTGCTTGAGAAGTTCTGAGTAGAGAAGTAGTACAAATCTTTAATAGCACTATGTAAAGAATTATTATCTGAAGAACCAGACACCAAAAGCAAACTGAACAAGAACCGAGTGTTTGGCAAAAGCATTATATCAACCAGGCTGCTAGATAACTAAAGAAAAAAAAATTTATTTGAAATACTAGAAGATATCTACTGGTCCCTTCTGAGCTATCTGGAATGAAAGTTTGGAGCATCAATAATTAGTATCAAAGTACTGTTGATAGTCTGTAAAGCGAATGCTGGGTTTGGATGAACTTTGTAAAAGCAAAAAGTAAGTGATAATAGCAGAGATAAATACTACAAGTACTTGGCTGTGGTCAAGGCGTAAGTTACTGAAAATCTAAATAATATATGTGTAGAACATGGACTACTTTAGTATAGTCAGGGATTTTGCTATATTTGGTCAATGATGATCGCACCTTATTTGGTAATAATT